ACAACAGACACTAGTATGGCAATATGTAAATCAATGGATGTGTAACTGATGTGATTCTGCAATCTGTATATGGGGTAAAAATGGGAGTTCATAACCCACTTGAATCAAAATGTGAAATATGATATATCAAGAACTATGTAATGGTTTGAACAACCAACAGTAAAAATTTAAAAAAATAAAAAATAATAAAAACTCACACAAAAAAACAGATTTGAAGGAAAAGAGAAGAAACTTATTGTTTGTAAAGTTCCTTTTCTCTCATAGCAGAAGCTAGAGCGAAATAAGGGAGAAAAAATGGCATGGGGAGAATCCCCTGAAAACCAAAGGGGAGATCAGCAGAGTAGAGGCAAGGGATTGAGGGGCAGGGAGGACAGAGGTAAAAAGGAAAGAACAGCGAAAGGATCTGACCAAATTATCTTATGTAAATATATGAATATACCACAGTGAATTCCACCTTTGTGTCTATCTATAAAGCACCATCAACTAAACAGAAGGAAGACCTGTAGGGTAGAGGAAGAGGAAGGAGGGGAGAAAAAGAGAATGTACTAGAACTGAAATGGAGGAAACTATATTCCATGCATATATGATTATATCAAACCCCACTATAATGCATAACTGTAATGTTCTAATAAAAACATGAAGAAAAAAAGAAGAAGAAGATATAGGTCATGTTTCTCCTCTAACAACTTGGCTTAGCTTAGATTTTGCAACTACAAGGTAAATGAGACCATATATCACAAATTTCATAAAACCAATGTACTTGAAATAACCATCCTGGCAAAATTACAGATGTTGTATTTTAAAAGAGCAAAATTGAAAATAAAATGAACAAGTATAAAGTGATACTAAAAAAAATCCCTCTTGTAAATCTCTGAAGGTGAGCAAAGCTTTTAAAGGAGAAGAGGCAGTGAGGTGGGACAAAAGGCAGGGATACACACATGCAGATTTCACCTGTGCTAGACAGGCCTGGTGAGGGGCAATCTCCATTCTCAGCTTCCTGGGCACCAATTAGGCTGTGAAGTGACTGGTCAACCACTCAGCTTCTATTCTCAGAATAAGGAACTTGTTCTCAATTTTAGGGCAGGGTAAATTTAATCCATTTCAATATTTCCATTTAATGTGTAAATTCAGACAATTCTGCTTTGGTTAGTCCAAATATGTAAATATGAACAGGAAAGGCCTCCAAAAGATTTGGGGAAATTCTGGGCAGCAAGGTCAAGTTTTCTGATTTATATTTATACCTATCTTTGTGAGTATTTTTTTTTAAAAATGCATTGGGTTCTATTAGGGAAGTAATTATAAGATAGCTCCTCTTTGTAATTGTTTAGTTTTAATTGGGGACTGATTATGGCAGTGGAAATGGTCAAAGTGGATCACATCTGAACATGTTTTGAATGTCAAATCCAAAATGCTTGATAATGAAGGGAATATGGATGTATGGAGGAAATAAGAAGAATGTTTTCAGCCTATCTCCACAGTTTAAAGCTCAACAACGACTCAGATGGTATACTACTTACTGACATAGTAATAGCAGGAGGACTAGGTTTTCAGAGTGGATGCAGTCATTTTTATTTAAGTATTTAATCTGGAGTTTCATCTGATGTATACAGTAAGGGATATCATACAGGCATTTAAATATACAAATCCAGAATTTAACAAAGGTCAAAGAAGGAAAGACAAATCACAAGTCATACATAGAGAAATTACTTATTACTATAGAAAGAGCAGGCCCAGGATGGAGTTGTGAAGTGCTGTTTCTTGTAGTATGACAGCTACTCTAACTTGCCTGAGGCTAAGTTTTCCTGGGGTGAGAGGTTTTCAGGGCTGCAACCAGCAATACCCTGGCAAACCTGGGTGAACTGGTCACCTACCAGAAGCTCTCGTAAGAGCATATTTGGGAAGACCCATTTACATAGACCAGACACAGGGCTGGTTACCTGTACTACAAGAAAAGAAAAGAAAAAGCGCTAAATTTTCTCCTTGCCCTTTTTTATACATAGCAACAAAAGGAAATTGGAAGTAAAGGGGAGAAAAGAAGTGAAAAAATAACTATGAAGGGTTATAAAAGACCTGTACCCAATATCTAGGTCCTCAAAATCTTTACCCTGATCCATTTGACCCAAATCTTCCTTTTAGGAAAAAGGGGACACAAAGAAGGTTTAATCTCCTGTGAACCTAGAGATTAACAGCTTATTCCATCACTGTTATTCCTAATGAAATTGTTAAAATTATTATCTGTGAGGCTTACTTGAAACTATACTGAGTACTCTGTCCATCAGCTGACAGTCACTATTTTTTAAAATTATTTTTTATAGGTCCACAGAGCCTGGTGTTGACCTATTCAATGCCATCCGCAGTGGGGATCTGCCCTGCATGGAAAATGTAGTCCTGGCCCTGGCCCAGATAGAGAATCCTTCTGCTGTGCAGAAGGCGTTTGCCCACTATAACCAGCAGATGGGCCAGAAGGTGCAGCTGCGCACAGAGACCCTCGAGGAACTGTTGGACGTGCACAGGGCCTGTGAGAGAGAGGCCATACAAGTCTTCATGAAGAACTCTTTTAAGGATGTTGGCCAAAAGTTCCAGAAGGAATTAGGGGTATGTATGGTGTTCTGTGTCATGACAGGCAGAAAAATATTGGTCCTTCTTGAGAAAAGTATTCTTCTTGGACCACAGAACAGTAAAACTCACTAATGTATACATATTTGCAATCATTATTGAAAGATTATGCCTAGTCTTCACTCTCTAAAAATCCAAGATTCCCACAAAAAAATCATTTTTGTTTATTTCTGAACAATGCATTTTATGTTTTTAGCAATTACCTAAATTGTACAATGCATTTATAAAAAGATTCTTAATTTAGTTTTTTTTTCCTTTAAAGTTAAAGAAGACACATTATTGTTGTGTTCCCTGCTAGTTATCTGGGGGAATGAAATTCTTTTTAAAATAATCTTAATAATTTATTGCTTTTTATGTATGCTGACAGAAAAAAAAAATAGAAAACCAAGAGAGAGACACTGATAATAAGATCTTTGTGTAAAAAAATGTCCATTTTTGTTAATTTTTCCACCATGGAATCCATATCTTCCACAACAAAGTGTATAATTATGATATAATCATCATTACTTCATTAGCCTATTATAAAATATTCAAAAATATTCTCATATTAAAGAATGTATTAATTAATTATTTATTTTTACTCAGTACTTCTAGAAAGTCACCCTGGCTTACAGTCTGCATCACCTCATATAATCTACAAGATGGTTATTGCTCCTTCTGGTTCACAGACATGGAATCCTCAGTCCATTCACATCAAGGTCACAAAGTCCCAGTGAAGTGGGTTCAGAAAATCCATGTAGGCTTGCCTCACTCCCATGCCTGTGCTCTGAAATAGTCCTGAAATTAGAAACCTGAAAGATAAATGCTTCATATGAAATAATACCTGTGCTTTAGAATCACTCTCTGAAAGCAGGAAATCTAGGGGAAGACAGCTTCAGAAAATCACAAATAAAAAATTTTTGGCAGCAAGCACTTTTCTTAGGGATGTTATAGGATGTCATGGTGAAGTGAAGAGAATGTTCCCATTTAGATGCCACAGTTTCTACAGGAGAAGCATTTTCCAGTAGCTGTGATTAACCTTCTGCTCAGGGGTTCACTTTTCTGTCTGTGCTGTTTGGTAGCTTTACAGGAGGAAAGCGAGATGACCCTTGTAAGCAAAACAGGGAAGGATCACCGGATAGTTGCACAACTTTATTTCAAGATATTTTTGGTCCTCTGGAAGAAGAAGTGAAGCAGGGGACATTTTCTAAACCAGGCGGTTACCATCTCTTTATTCAGAAAAAATAAAAGCTGAAGAAAAACTAATATCAGGATCGTGGAAAGAGGATAGATCATGGAAAGGGGATAGATGTAGCTGGTACCATTTCTGGGGATTGCTGAGGAGACTCTGTAAGGAAAATAATAAGAGACACAGAGACAAGATGCAGAGGCAGGAAAAATGGCTGCTTGTCCAAGTGGCCAGGTTTATGTATATCAACAGGTTACATTAGGTCATTAGTACCATAACTACATTATTGTGTATTCTATCAGTAAGGTTGCTTATTTTGTAGTTACATTTTACAGTTACAATATGTAATGTCAGGAACTTTGTGCTGCTCTCAAGAAAGTCCATTGTTACTGTTAGGCAGGCAGATCCAGGAGCACTGGAGCCTGGTGAAACACTGTAGTTTCCTAACAAGCAAGTTCCTTTATTCCCAGAAACTATGTGCCTGAGATCAAGGTTGAGGCTCATAAGACTCTAGCATAAAGCCTTCTCATACAGTCATTGCCACTGCAGCTAGATGTTGCACATGTATTTAGTTATTTTACTAGTTCCTAGGAGAAACCACAGGGCATTCTAAGGGTGGGAAAGAGAGTTCCTATTACCTCCCTGGAGTTTGCTCACAGAGGAACACTTCTCTGTATATTTGCACAGTCAGAATCCCTATAAGACTCTTTTAAACCCCCTGGAAACAAGGAAGACACTGGGCTTGGTATGCAGTGCCTCTGCCTTTTATTTGCCCACTGACTGATTCATTCAGTAAGAGAACTTACCATGAGATACATAGGTTCTTTCTTGGGATCACACAGTCCCCAAAGATGTTTGTGAAATTCATTCATTCATCCAATCATCCAGTCATTTTCCAACAATTCATTTTGACATGTGTGTAAGGTACTTGTCAAGTTGCTGGGGAGAAATAAATTTAAAAACAGAAATAAAAGGCAAATTCACTGAAGAAAAGCAAGTTCTTTCTAAGTACAAACAGTAATAAACAAATTATGTCTTACAAATAATTTTAATGACAGTAGCAATAAATACTTTTATTGCTCTTACTGTGTTCTAGAGTTTAAACCAATTAATCATCACATCAAATCAAAAAACTATTTATTATTAATATACCCATTAATTTAAAAAGAAAATTGAGGCTCAGAAAAGGACAAAGACTGTCTCAAGATCACCCAGGTAACAAGTGGTACTGCTTGTATGCAAATCTGAGTAACATGATCTGTGCCGTTAACAATTTTTCTAGACTGGTATTCTCAGATTACATCAGTTAGAATTAGGTTTGGCTACATATTATTTGAAGAGAAAAAGCACCAATGGCTTCAAAAGAGCAAAAGTTTCTTTCTTGCATCCAAGAAGTGAGGAGGAGAGCACCCAGTGCTTCTCTGATGATCCCACATTTGTCTTAGTCCCAGCATCTTTGTACAAGGTTTGCCTCAAGCTGAGTTCATGTTTTAAGAGGGCTGTTTGTTTCAGCCTTTAGCTCCATTTTGTAGGTGGAAAAAAAAAGGTGGGGGGTGTTTTAGACATGAGAAGGGCTATGATTAGACTCCCTTTAGGAGCTTTCCAAGATTTACCATGTAATATTTATGATTATATTTTTGGCAAGAGTTTAATCATTTATGCACCCTAGCTGTAAGGGATGTTGAACATAAAATACAGTATTTTAACATGATTATATCAGATGAGGTAAAATTTCAGCAGACTATTCAAAGAAGCCAGCGAAACAAAAGGATATGTAGGAGAAGGAAGTTTCAAACAACAAAAAAGGTCCCTGAAGAATTCATTGGCTCATGTTCCAGGAGTAGCAAAAAAAAAAAAAAAAAAAAAATTATGTGCTGTGAGCAGGAAGTAAAGGAGAGTCTTCAGGAGATAAAGCCAGAGGCCAGAAAAATGAGTGCTTTGAAGGACACTGAAATCAGCTTGAAATTCATTTGGCTGAACAGAAAGAATGTCAATAGAGGGTTTTGAGTGTAAGAGTGATTTTTTCTGAAAGTAATATGGCAAAACTCTTGTTGCTCTGAGAAGGACTGACTGCGGTAAGAGGTGATGATGCCTTGGGCTAGTGTATTTTGGTGCAGTGTGTGACAAGTGACAGGTTCTGGTAATATCTGATGGTTATATGAGGGACATGTGAAGGGAAAACAAGATATCAAGGATATAGTTGGATGAACTGTTACTAGTTGCTAAAACTGAAGTGACTGGGAAGGATCAGTTTGACAGGGAATCCAGGGTTAAGTTTTAGACCTAATCACTTTGAAATGCTACTTGAATTGTAAAATGAATTGTTACATGGCTGGGAACACTTGAATTAAGAGATGTATTGCAGGTTGGTTTTTCTTTAATCCATAGTCTCTATTTCCTCATTTGAATGCTCCTGTTTAGGCTGAACAGATGTTGCAAAAATACTTGGATTCCAAGGAGGATGTGGCAGATGCACTCCTACAAACTGATCACTCATTCACAAAAAAAGAAAAAGAGGTTGCAGGTGAGAACAACTGAAAACACTGAGACTAGTTGGAAAGCCTAGAAGTGTTTGTTGACAGTATTGGTCCACATAAAATTATCATTATAAAGAAACAATAGCAGCGGGCGTGGTGGCCCATGCCCCTAATTCAAGTAACTGGGGTGGTTGATGTAGGTGCATCAGGAGTTCAAAGCCAGCCTCTGCAGATAAGTGAGGCACTTAGCAACTCAGGAAGATTCTGTCACTAAATAAAATATTAAAAAGGGCTGGATATGTGGCTCAGTGGTTAAGCACTCCCTGGTTTCAATCCCCAGTACCAAAAAGGAAAGAAAGAATGGAAGGAAGGAAGGAAGGAAGGAAGGGAGGGAGGGAGGGAGGGAGGAAGGAAGGAAGGAAGGAAGGAAGGAGGAAAGAAAGGAGGGAGAGGAAGAAAAGAAGGAAGAGAATAGCAAGTATCATTCTTAGTTCTCTGGTAGTTTTACCTTAACTGGCATGTTCAATCATCGATCTTCTGATGCAAAATTTACCACAATTCTCAATGATATAAGAATTTTTTAAAGGGTAAAAACACAAGAAATATGTACAACTTAACATCTGTATTTCTTTGCTTTTCTTCCTCAGTGGAACATATAAAGGCTGAATCTGCAGAAGCTACAAAGAAAATGTTGGAAGAAATCCAAAGGAAGAATGCGCAGATCATGGAACAGAAAGAAAAGAGTTACCAGGAACATGTGAATCAGTTGACTGAGAAGATGCAGCAGGACAGGGCCCAGGCAATGGGGGAACAAGAGAGGACTCCAGCTCTGAAATTTCTGGTATTTGACCACAACATCTCAGTTTTCTCTTCCAGTGCCCCAAGTCAAAAACAAAGTGTAAGGATGAGAACTTCATGCCTCCAAAAGAAGAATATCCCATCCAGTTACGCTACTACATTTCTCATCTCCTATCTGCTTTTATCTCTGTCCATCTCTGGTTATGAAAATTTATCTAGTTGCTGGATAAAATACCATGAAATTTTTCCTTATGCTATTGTTATTAAACAGTAGTTATTAATTACTAAGCATAGCACAAGTGCTGTAAGGCACTTGTGATCAAATCCTCACCTAATGGCTCAGAGACCATTATTTTCTCAATTGCTAAATAAGGACACTTTGATTCCATGAGCTATAGATAACCTTTTTACATCGGACTGCATAGTGATACAACCATCCTACTGAGCGGGATTTTTGTTTCTCCCAAAACTAGTATAACTTGATACCTGGGAGCACAATAATGAGTAGAAGACTCTTGACCAACTACCCATTTTTAAGCAAATTGGCTGAGTGTTCATATGGCCAATACATTCTGGCTATTTGAGCACTACTCCACTTTTGTACTGAATCTGCATATTGGCCCAGGAATATCCTATGGGCTACTTCAGGCTCCAGTGGTTTCAACATACTTTTGTTGCATCTGCCACCCAAACTTTGGAGACTTGTACTAAATTCTGATTCTGCATCACATAGCTACCTTCCCATTGCATTTTGTCTGTCCTTCTTACCTAGCTACACATGTGTTAATCAGAGATAAGGATATATATACATATATTTGTGATTGTGTGTGTGTATATATACACACACACAACCACAAATTGTGTTGCATATGAGTGAAGGGATTCAAGAATGGAATTCTAGGCCATAGATATTTTAGAAATTATAAGACAACATCAGTTCTGAAGCTGGAGCAAGGCTAGGGAAAATGTTAGCAGAAATAGGAAACTCAGGAGAAACTAAGACAGAGGGGGCGGGGGAGATGCAAGTTAAGGGAGGAAAGAATGTCAAGAACAAGTGTCAAAAGTTCTTGAGGGATTAATGGAAATACCCAAAGGGGAACTAAGAAGGCAATGTGGGAATCACAGTAAGCTGTACAAGTTTCCTTTAGGAATAGGATCGACTTCTCGAAGAGGGATTCAAGAATGAGAGCATGAAACTTCAGCAACAGATAAATCAAATCAGATGGAAAGCAGCAAACAAATAGTCATACCCACACCCTACCCTTTCCCATACCATGTAACATACTCTAAAGATCCAAGGAAGAAAAGAACTCTGTCTAGCCCCCTCTTCCCAGGGAATAAATCAAGCAGGGAACTTTAGAATGTGAAACAACTGCCACTCAACCAAACTTGCAATCAAGATGCATTTCTGTTGGACCATGAGAGTTAAAATTTAAATATGAAAGCAATGTTTTCTTTTTTTTTTAATTTTTTAATGTGGGTTGTTCAAAACATTACAAATTTCTTGACATATCATATTCCACACTTTGATTCAAGTGGGTTATGAACTCCCACCTTCACCCCATACACAGATTGCAGAATCACATCAGTTACACATCCATTGATTTACAAATTGCCATACTAGTGTCTGTTGTGCTCCACTGCCTTTCCCATCCTCCACCCTCCCCACTCCCC